AACCCGGGAGGCGGAGCTTGCAGTGAGCCGAGATCAAGCCACTGCACTCCAGCCTGGGCTACAGAGTGAGACTCTGTCTCAAAACAACAACAACAACAACAACAACAACAACAACAACAAAAACTGATTTACCTGCAGGAAGGCTAGAGGCATTTCCTCTGCTTGGAGCTTCTTCTCTCCTTTCTCTACCTGGCTGAAGTTTACTACAGTTGGTGCTCTGTATCCTCTGGAGTTTGGTTCCAGGATTCCCCAAGGATACCAAAATCCAGCGATGCCCAAGCCACTGTTATAAAATAGTGTGGTGCGGTCAACCCTCTGTATCCACAAGTCTCCTTCCACAGTTGGTTGAATCTGAGAATGTGAAACCCATGGATATGAAGGCCAACTGTAATCTTCCTGGGCTCCGCTTACACACAGTCCTCTGGGGGGATTTCCTGGACCCTCAGACGGGATTACACGCTCGGCACTCGGAACTCCCACAGTGTTTTTTGTGTACCCTCTCTGTATTTCTGTATTAGCACTTGCCCACTACAGATATTGTTGTCACAGGTTCCTTGTCTGTCTCCTGTACGGGACTGATGGTGTCTGCTTTTGTGGTGCTGCCGCCTCTGACAGAACCGGGTACAGAGCTTGCGTTTGATGCATTTCTGTTGGATGAATAAATGCATGAATGAAAGGAAAAGAAGTTCAACTACAGGTGAGTTTGGGGATGTAGGAGAGGAGGAGATGAGGAAAGAAACGTGGCAGGATTTGGCCTGATAGTGAGTGTGCACTGCAAGCAGTGAGAAGGTGAAAATTCCTTTGAAGATTTTTTTCCCTTTGAAGAGAAGCTGCTTTTTGAGGGTGAGTTGGCATTCCTAGGTCTTACTTAGATTATAAGGGGAAAAAATAAACAAAACCTATGTATCGCAGCCCAGCATGGTGGCTCAAGCCTGTAATCCTAGCACTTCGGGAGGCCGATGAGGGAGCAGTGCTTGAGGCCAGCCTAGAGAACAAAGCAAGGCCTTATCTCTACAAAAACTAAAAAAATTAGTCAGGCATGGTGGTGCACCCCAAGTCCCAGCTACTTGGAAGGATGAGGCATTCTCGCTTGGGGCCAGGAGTTTGAGGTTGTAGTGAGCCGTGATCACACCACTGCATTCCAGCCTGGGCAAAAAAGTAAGACCTCATCTCAATAAATAAATAAATAAATAAATAAATAAATAAATAAATAATTGCCTTATCCCTACAAATAGGCAAAATAAATCATTAAGGCAAATTTCAAACTTTCCCTTCTGCATATATGTTAAGTTTTGTAACAAGATCACCAACATTTCCGTAGTTTCTGTCTTCGCTCTTTAGAAAAATCACTGTTTATTTACAGAACATCCATCTACTTGTTAGACAAGTGATGTAAGCACAACCAGCATGCGATCACCCAGAACCCATTGGTTGAAGAAGGAGCTTTAGGCAAATAGAAGCTGCAGTGCCTAATTCTCCCATCTGGCTCCGAGAGTTTGCCATTGGCTCAGGTGCTGTGCCTTTCCGGAGGCTGGTTTGCTGCTGTGGGAAGGAGACAGGAGAGGAAACCACCATCGAGAGGCAAGGGCAAGCCTTGCTCACTCACGCCTTACCTCACCAAGCCAGCTGTCTTGCCTTTTGCTCTGGCCTGTGCGTAGAGAGCTCGGCCCACAGTTTTCTCCTTAATAGAACTCCTAAATGTCGTGCCATCCACAGTCCTAGAAAACGACAGAAGGCAACCAGTTGGTCAGAAAAATAATCTTTTTTTTTTTTTTTTCTTGAGATGGAGTCTTGCTCTGTCACCCAGGCTGGAGTGCAATGGTGCAATCTCGGCTCACTGCAACCTCTGCCTCCCGGGTTCAAGCGATTCTCCTGCTTCAGCCTCCTGAGGAGCTGGGATTACAGGCTCCTGCCACCATGCCAGGCTAATTTTTTGTATTTTTAATAGAGGCGGGGTTTCACCATGTTGGCAAGGCTGGTCTCGAACTTCTGACCTCGTGATCCATCTGCCTTGGCCTCCCAAAGTTCTAGGATTACAGGTGTGAGCCACTGCACCCAGCCCAGAATAGTAATCTTAGCAAAACAAACAAGAGCAAGCAAAGAACCCAACAAGGTTGATTTAATGAATGAGGGCAATGATCATTTTGTGTCTATAAGAAATAAGAAGGAGGCATTTGAATAGTTTATAGACAGGACTTCCTTTATTGATTGGATAGTGTGGCTTGAGAGGGGTTTGGTAGGCTCCCACCCTAAAACCTTTCCCTCATGTACTGTTGTTTGTTTTTAGATTTTTCCTCATTTTTGAATTTCATCCTTTAGATGAAGAATGGTTCTCTTTGGGTATCCCCTTCGAATGACAAATGTGACTAGGAGAGGTGACTGATAAATTCCGAATTATCTCGTTACCTTTGGTTCCGCAGGTCATTCTGTGAGTTAAGAATTTGGCACAGCTGTGGGGTATGCAATGGACCGAATGTTTATGTTCCCCACAAATGTGTATGTTGAACCTTACTTCTTAGGACGATGACATTAGGAGGTGGGGCCTTGGAGAGGTAATTAGGTCTCTCCTCAGGAATAGCCTTTAGTGCTCTCACAAAAGAGACTTCAAGGAATTCTCTCATCTCTTTCCATCCTGACTGAACCAGGAAATGGGCCCTCACGAGACATGAAATCTTTGGGCACCTTGATCTCAGACTTCCCAGCCTTCAGAACTATGAGAAATACATTTCTGTTGTTTATAAGCTACCCATTTTATGGTACTCAGTCATAGCAGCCTGAGCTGATGAAGACAGACTATTATGCTCCTCTGCAAGGGTGGAAAAGAATAGAGAAAAATCGGGGAAGGTGCTGGTGCGTCCACTGCCAAAGTGGTGCTTCTCTGGAAACCATCTCCCTTGGGGACCTCTGTCTTCTATTTGCACCTCGTCTCTTTCCACCATACTTTTAGCTGGCTAGCAACTAATCCTTACCAAGTAATGGTTGGTCAGAGAGGTAGAATCCAGAATTTTGGAAGTAAATGGAAACTTCCAGTACTCAAATGGGCAGTGTCTTTTCCAAAGGAGCAATTTAGAAATGTGTGAAGTTTGGGTTGTTGAGATGACTCGGAAGTGCTGCTGGCATTCGTGGGAGGACACCGAGAATGTTAGTCATCCTGCAATGTGAAGGACAGCTCCACTGAAGAATTTTCCTGCCCCAAATGCCAACAGCACGTGTGTTGAAGCACACTTCTGGGTTTGCCCCTTTAGATGAGAGACATCAGACCCCAGGAGACAGGTGACTCTTGCTCAAGGTCACGCTGCTGGTCAAGGCCATCATGCTTCTATCAAATCATAACTAAGTCCCAAAGGCCAAGGAGTCTTTAGGACAAAGGAAATCATCTCCCATAGAATATTCAGGATCTTGACAAAAAAGTAGAAGGGATATTTTGGCTAGTACATAGGTCTACACAGCTCATTTTAAGTTGTGATAATTAAGCAGGTATCTTCTCTGGTCTTATAAATTCAGCCTAGAGCAGAGGGAGATAAAAGGAAATGCATGTTTCACAATTCTGTCCTTTGTACTTCAAATCTTCTATGTAATGAAATGGTAAAGAAAGAACAGAATGAAAGATGGAATAGTATGGCATAAAAAAAGGAATGAGGTCATGTCCTTTGCAGGGACATGGATCAAGCTGGAAGCTATCGTCCTCAGCAAACTAACACAGGAACAGAAATTCAAACACTGTATGTTCTCACTCATAAGTGGGAGTTGAACAATGAGAACACATGGACACAGGGAGGGGAACATCACACACCAGGGCCTGTCGGGAGGTAGAGGGCAAGGGGAGGGAGAGCATTAGGACAAATAGCTAACACATGCGGACAAATAGCTAACACATGCGGGGCTTAAAACCTAGATAACAGGATGATAGGTGCAGCAAACCACCATAGCACATGTATACCTATGTAACAAACCTACACATTCTGCACTTGTATCCCGGAACTTAAAGTGAAAACAAAACAAAACAAAACAAAACAAACAAACAAACAAAAAACAGAAATAACAGATCTTTAGAGTAAGTTCTGATTATATGGTTTAAAAATAGGAATTTACTAAAATAGTTTTCAATGTCATTTCTAGACATGGGTTCATATAATACCACTACAGAAAAGCTTTCCCTTCTCCCTTTGCTTTTTAGAAAAGGCAGACAAAAAAAGCGATACATTTTAAAGCCAATTCAAAGGATACCAATCAAAGTGACACAATGCCTTTTTCTGCCTGCTTGGTTCTGTTCGGAAAATAGAGTTCACATGACTGCCAAAGTGCATGGTAGTTGAACCCTTTACTGTTTATCCACAGTGATCACTGATTACCCTGGTGTATGAAAGACAAAAGTGGATGAGAAGTAACTCAACCTAACGTCTTCATAAAAAAAATAGCCAGACTTTATGCATGGTACTTTGCTGTGTTCTTGGCAACTTAAGAGGGACGTTGACCACTTGGAACATACTCTGGGGTGGCCACCTTGATATTTGGACATAGAAATCATTCCACTTAGAGGAACAGAGAATATTTAACTTTGATACATGAAGGCTCCAAGTGGATAAGATAACTGGCATTAACTGTTTGGAAAGTATTGGAGTAGTTTAACATTTTTTCATTATGAAAAATTTCAAACACACGGAAAATAGAGGGAATAATATGAGATGTCCATGAAACCATCACTGAGCTACACCATTATGAATACTCAGCCAATCTTAATTTGTCTAAACTCTCAAGCTTTCCACCTCAATTGTTAAGAAGCCAAGCTCAAGGCCGGGCACAGTGGCTCACACCTGTAATCCCAGCACTTTGGGAGGCTGAGGTGGGTGGATCACGAGGTCAAGAGATTGAGACCATCCTGGCTAACACGGTGAAACCCCGTCTCTACTAAAAATACAAAAAACTAGCTGGGCATGGTGGTGGGTGCCTGTAGTCCCAGCTACTTGGGAGGCTGAGGCAGGAGAATGGTGTGAACCCGGGAGGCAGAACTTGCAGTGAGCTAAGATGGTGCCACTGCACTTCAGCCTGGGCCACAGAGCGAGACTCCATCTCAAAAAAAAAAAAGCCAAGCTCAGATGGCACATCATTTCATCTATGAACACTTCAATATGTATTTTGTAGAGAGCTTTTTAAAAATTCATGTGATTATCACTAGAGACATTGGGTAGAAAGTGGAAAATATTTAAATGAAGTATAAGAAAGGACTCTTAACAGAGCTGTCAACCACTGAGTTGATTGCCTTGGGAAAAGTGAGTTTATCATTAAGGAAATCATCACACACTTGTAAGTGGTGTTACAGAGGAGGTCAAGCACTGGATAAGTAATTGGATTTAATCTGTGGTTCTCAACTTGGTTTTTTTTTTTTTTTTTTCTACAGAGAAACATATGAAAGATGGCATTGACCTGCTGTGCATATGCTCTTACGTGGTTTGCTATAAGCCAGAGCAACCCAGTATATTCTTCTCCTCCCAAGAAAGTATATTAAAATGCAAGTAAGTATGAGGTTGTTACCATAGAGATAGACTTAAGTTTGCTTTAGCTTATTAGAAACAAAAAGCAAATAATTCACAAATTCTAATGCTTTCAACAGGAGCAAATTATTGGGACCAACCTCACAATGACCCTTGTCATCCAGCCGGTCCACAGTTCTGGAGGTAAGCGCCACTGGGAGAGTTGACCATGAAGGCCCACTCTAACTATGAGGGGTTTTGATTCTGTGAATAGAGCATCTACAATTTCTGGCTCTACACAGAAGTTACTCACATGGAGAAGTTGGAAATGAAGGCTCCTTTGGGGATCTGAACATCAAACACGACATTCTGAGGCTGTGGGGAATTGTTCACCACTTTGCTCTGGATCATGGTAGTAGCCATCCGAGAAGTAATAGTAGACTGGACTTTATAGCTATAAAGAGTTACTTGATCAGCCTCTTCCTGAAATTGGCAAGAAAGCATAATGGTACTAATTGAAAAATCACACAGAACTTCATCAAAGTTAGAAGAGCATTTGATGTTAACAGCACTATATTTTCCTTGTTTTACTAGCAGAACAATTCCGAGGCCTTGATAAGGGCAGAACTCGGGTGTTGTTAAGCATTCTCCTAACTTCTTGGAACACCCAACGAGCAGAAGTCTGCCTTCGTTTCAAGATACTTCGAGCTAAAAGGCATTTTCAGCCCTGTGAGTCTATAAATAATGATTTTTCAAAAATTAGAATATACGTAGAAAATGGTTGTGGGAAGCCAGATTGGATTGAGGAAGTCCAGGAAATAACTCCAAATGCAGGACCATCAGCTGGGGAAAGGATACTGGATTGCGAGGTTGAATCTTCCTCAACAATACCCTGGTTGTATCTTCTGTTAAGGTCAGACAGGGGTGCTGTGGGGTGGATACACACATGTGGCCTCTACCAACCCCTCTTACCGCTCTCTACCTTCTTTAGTCTCCTCTATTACAATTTCATCTGCAGTCCTTTTCTCCTCCCTCAAGTCAAAACAAGTTAGGAGAACAGTGATGGGTGTAAGCAAGGGGCATTGATCTTGGACCAGGCATTCTGATATAAGTATTGGTCCAACACTCTGGACCTCCTTACCCAATCGCTACTGATTTAAAGCAGCTCCAGTATAAAGGATGTCATATGTAAGTGTTCTCAAAGGCAAGGTCCTAGAAACCCATGTCTTTCAGGAGGTGACTGAGAGCTGCAAGCTCCTTCAGGTCTATGACAACTATGGGACCCATTAGATTTCGCCTTTTTCTCCAAAAGAATTGACTTGTCTCAATACCAGGTCTCATTCCCCAAACTTTGTAGTCCAACATTAAACCTTTTGACTAACCATGCAGCTCACCTCAAGCTAAAATAAAATCCAGGCGAATCTACGTGTCCTTCCTCCCTCTGAAGTGTGCACTTCTGGCCGTTTCTGCCAATTCAGGGCAGGAAGCACAACATAAACCACTTCCTCAGGTTGTTTTCTTGCCACAGGATGGTCTACTCTGAACATCTCAGGGACCTGGGCCATTTTGTATTTAAGAGTTCCTTCCCACGGGCACTCTTTTATTATCCAAAGCTGTCAGGTGTCATACTTTAAATCAAAATGGTGTCGGAAGTGATGGCTCACACCTGTAATCCCAGCATTTTGGGAGGCTGAGGCAGGCAGATCACCCAAGGTCAGGAGTTCGAGACCAGCCTGGCCAACATGGTGAAACCCCATCTCTACTAAAAACACAAAAATTAGCTGGGCATGGTGGTGCATGCCTGTAATCCCAGCTACTCAGGAGGCTGAGGCAGGAGAATCTCTTGAACCTAGTGGGCAGAGGTTGCAGTGAGCTGAGATCGCGCCATTGCACTCCAGCCTGGGCAAGAAGAGTAAAACTCTGTCTCAAAAAAATAAAAATAAAAACGTAAAAATAAATACTTAAAACGGTTAAGTTGGAATAAATCCATAAATTTATACAGTGGGATGGAACCTATGTTATATGGCAAAACTCAAGAAAATCAAAAGAAGGGCCCCTTCAGCCCTTGGTGACTTCTCTCCTGTCTGAAAAGACTGCACTCTTTAATGCTGAATTTTAGAAACACTTCCAAACAGTTGGGCAAGGCAGTATTTCGAAAGTCAGGTAAATACTCGGTGACGAAGACCAAAGAGACACCCAGATTGATTTCCTGGGAATTATTAGCAGGAAAATCATTCAATCTGTAACAGCATCAAAGTCAACTTACCATTATTTCTCCCGATTCTCCTGGAAGGCTTCTCTGTGAAAGGAAGTTAGACAATCATTCTTCAACTGTATGTCACTTATTACCTTGAGGGCCAAAACTGTTTTCTCAGTCAAAAAAGAAATTTTAGTTTTCTTCACTACTGAGCTGTTATTCATTCACTGAAGTTGAGACATACATATTGAACATTCTTGGAAACTATTTTCCCATTGGTGAGTTTCTCAACACCTTTCTTTACCAATTTTGGTGGCGTGCATGTCATTCTTGGATATAATGTTAGAACAAGTCATTTTTAAATAAAAATATACAACCAAATGCATCCTGGGTGGTGTATATCCCCTTGATGCTATTTACTGTTTTTTACTCTGTCAAATGGAGACTTTGAGTCTCCCCTTCAGATCTCAGCTCCGGCAGAATTCCTCCAGTGAACATCTCTAATGCCCCAAGACTAGGCCGGTTTCCTTTACTAAGTGTTTTCGCAGCAGCATATCCCTTCCTGTAGCGCACTCACCTTGTTTCATAATGATTCATTCTATTTGAGGGATTATTTAACTCAAGTCTGTCTCTTCCTTTAAACTAAGCTACATAAAAGCAGGGATTTTCATGTATTTCCTCCGCGGTGTAACCCCAGAGCCAAACACAGTGACTGGCACCTAGAAGATTCTATGCTTGTAACCACCATGCTAGGAGATTATCCATACACTTGACTGTCCTGTGGAAAGGAACAAAGGCGATTCCCTTGACTTTGAAAGTGAATGGCTTAAGGGTGGTGGGTGAACATGTAATGTTTGGTGAGCTGTTAATAATAGATCCAAGAAGTCAGGTGTTGGATAGAAGCTCAGCTCGCCTGATTCAGGGTGAACTGAGGTTCTGTGCTATGTGACATGGTAAAGTCAATGGTTGACCTCTTCTTGTAGACTTCTTGAATGCAATGCTCAATGACAAATCTTTCTCTCTTGTGGCTAAATAAATCGTGACATGAAGTCTTGCTTATTGGATTTTAATATTATTGGTCTAAAAAAAAACCCTGGATTTTCAGAAAGTAGAAAATTCATACCCATACAAAATAAGACATTGATCAGCTTAGAGTTTGCTGCTTCCGTAAATACCTCCTTTCTCAGCATGTGGGCTCCATGGGGAAGGAGCCAAGCCCTTCCTGGTGTTCCAGACTACTCATCCCCTTAATTAGAGGGTTTTGTCTATACTGCCGCTGGTGGCCTCCAGGACTGCAACTCCCAGTGTGGCCAATTCTCCTTTTTAGGTGCTCTCAGAGTGACCAGAGGAAGGAGATTGTAAGGCTGCAAGGGGAAGTGTCTGTCATCGCTAAAAGAAGAAAAGTCTTCCTAACAGGAAATCCTTCCCCATAAGGCAGGAAGTAATTTCAGAATCTTAAGTGTTGAAGAAAACACATAGCCATGTGATATCTTTTTTTAAATGGAGTGGGGACAGGGTCTCCTTCTGTTACCCAGGCTGCTGCAATCATAGCTCACTGCAGCCTTGAACTCCTGGGCTCAAGCGATCCTCCATCTCAGCTTCTCAAATAGCTGGGACTACAGGTGCATTCCAGCTAATGTATGTATATCAGTTGGGTGGCGGAGATAGGGTCTCACTGTGTTAACCGGGCTGGTCTGGAACTCCGAGCCTCAAGTGATCCTCCCTCCTTGGCCTCCGAAAGTGCTGTGATTATAAGCGGGAGCCACTGTGCCAAGTTACGTATTCTTTAAAGGGCTAACTTGAGCATTATGGCGTGAAGGCTGCTAAGCAGCTGTGTGAATTTCCCTTTTGATTTCACCTGGATGATCTCTTCCACCAAGGTGTAAGAGCACTGGACCCTTCTGTGCTAAAAAAACACTCTTAAGAAAATCTAGCAGAAGGCATCTTAACACTTATCTTACTTCTTCTGCCATAATCTCTTTCATTTCCCCGACCCCCCGCCCCTTTTGGAAGTAAAGCTTACAATACCTGATATCTCTGGTTCTCTGCCACCAATTGAAATTTGCCTGGGGCCAGTTCCACAAGATCTTCATAGTCTACAAACTTAAAAAAAATTAGGATTTTAACTTTTTTTTTTAAATTATACTTTAAGCTCTGAGGTACATGTGTACAACGTGCAGGTTTGATACATAGGTATACATGTGTCATGTTGGTTTGCTGCACCCATCAACTCATCATTTAGCTTAGGTATTTCTCCTAATGCTATCCCTCCCCCAACCCCCAGCCCCCCGACAGGCCCTGGTGTGTGATGTTCCTCTCCCTGTGTCCATGTGTTCTCATTGTTCAGCTCCCACTTATAAGTGAGAACATGTGGTGTTTGGTTTTCTCTTCTTGTGTTACTTTGCTGAGAATGATGGTTTCCAAAAGATCTAGAGCCAAAGAGATAGCTGTTGGTATTCATTATTTTATATTCTTTCCTCTACCTCTGGGCAATCACAATTTTGTATAAAATGATTTCTTTAATATATTTCTATTTGCTGGTTACGTCTCAGAGGTGTACAAATGGAAGGTAGCAACACCTTCGCATTTGTTGGACACGGAAATTCATTTCTGAGTTTGCCCGCGGGTAGCAAGACAGGGATCAAAACAACCCAGTGATTAGGTGGGTGTCTGGGGAAGTAACTGGGTAGACCCTGGAGGCATTTGCAGTGTCTGACTGGACAGACATGAACCATACATCTCCCCCAAGTTAAAAATGTAGGTATTTTCTAAAAGGAATGCCAGTTAGAAATGACTGAAAAAGCACAAACGCATTTGGATGTCTTAGCTTCCATTTGAGATTTCCAACACACTCTGGTGACTTTTAAGTGTTGGAAAATATGATAGTTTGAAAGCAGACAGAGTGATATTTTCCCTCTGTAAATATGCCGTCGTATTCTCTGGCATTTTTGTAGGTAATCCACTCTGCAAGTCTCATAAGCCTTCGCGTTTGCTGGGATGTTCCCATAACACGTTTTGCTTTTCTGGCATAAAAATAGCTCTTGTATGACTTTCAGAAACAGACTTTCAGTCCAAGACTTTCCTTACATTGGAGACGGCTAAGGGACAAAAGTGGAGACCTACACTCCGTGGGAGTTATTCTTGTACTTTTCCACCCTTCTTTCTGTCTTCCCCTTTAATAGGAATACTGAAAGTGTCCTTCTTACAAGTATCACTGTTCACTTAGGTATGGAAAACAGTGTGCTTTCATAATGACTTTTCTTACACTCTTAGTAAAAGAGTGATAATATTTCTTCGTCATCATAACAGCTAATAATGATGAAGCACTTACTAGTCCAGGCACTCTGCTAGAGTTTGCACTGTGCCGTTTAATTCTCAAAGCAAACCTTTGGGTTAGGTCTATTCTTACCCCCATTTTTTTAGATGAGGAGTGAGCAGCCGTGCTCCATAAATGCTACACTCTGATGCCTGCCCACTGAGCTTGACTTAATTCTCATGCAAAAGCTGTGAATGCTGTAAAAGGTAAATACACATTCCAGTAATTATAACAGTAAACACTTGCACTCAGATGAATTTTATCTTAAGTTTCCATTACACACAGAATAAGGCCATTGAATAGCAATTGCAATAGGCTATTTACTGAGCTGATGAGCAGGCCGACAGCAAGGAGTGATCTGGAAGTACTTACTTCAGAAAGTCCATTGATGGGGATTTCGAAGCCTGATACTTCAGAAAGAAAGAGGCAGATGAAAAGGCACGTGAGTCGTTTCATTTTGCTGGACAGTTTTGCCAAAGCTCCCCAGAGCAGATGGCCTGGGGAGGATATCACTTCTTCCTACTGAACCAAGTTCAAAGGAACAGCAGAGGAGGCCCGTTCGCTTTAAGAAAGAAGAAAAAAGAAGAAAAAAACTCTCTAACTTTGCTCAAAATTGGGACAAATATTTGTTCTGGAGCTCAAACTTGAGCTGTGGGGGTGGATCGAACACCCAGAGGTTATTCAAACAGCAAAGTCAGAAGCAGTCGCTCACTGCGAGGACAAGTCAGGGGCAGATGGATGTGCTTGAATGTTCTTATGTGCTTTTTATTTCTTCTCTTTTTGGATTTTGCTGATTTCTATTGATCTTAATATCAGAGAGACCTAAAGATAATTGTCATCCTTTCTAAAGGACCAAGTGCAGAACTATTCCCAGAAACAAAATCCTTTGATCTAAATTAAAGCAGAAAAAATGTAGAAAAAGTGGGAGAAGACGCAGAGTGGTTGTTCTGAGCAAAGAATTCATTGTGCGCGTTTTCCCCATCTCTCTGATGACTGATTACCTGTTACCTATAAAGAGCCAGGCAAGTGGCTGTGCAGGATACTAGGGCAGATCTTCAGTGAGGATGCTTCGTGAATGCCTTTGGTTAAGGTAACAGTGTCTGTCCTGCTGCCCCCATCAGCCGGGCTCAAGTCAGTGGCAAATCAATACTCCCCGGTTTCGGCATTGGAGTGCACTGGTGAGATCAAAGCTCATTGCAGCCTTAACTTCCCCCGGCTCAAGCAATCTTCCCACCTCAGCCTCCAGAGTAGCTGGACTACAGGTGTGCACTACTGTGCCCGGCTATTCTTTGTAGAGATGGGATTTCATCATGTTGCTCACCCTGGTCTTGAACATCTGGGATCAAGCTATCTGCTCGCCTTGGCCTTCCAAAGTGCTGGGATTCCAGATGTGAGCCACCATGCCTGGCCTCCATCCTGGTCAGATTCTATTTTTCTTGCAACGAACAGGAAATGTAACTTCTTGGATGCAGCAGTGAAATAGGAAGCTCCAGCTGTGGGCAGAATTACAATACAAGGGAGGTTGTCTCATCCTCAGGACCAAGCACCCCAGGCCAACTTCTGGGATCCTGGAGCTCCTTGCAACATTTAAAGCCCAATTTACAAGGCATGCAACAGAGAGTTATCTGCACTTTCCTCCCTAGTTTCCCCTCAGTCTTTGAAATTGCACAGCCGTGTATCTGCTGGGGAAGTATAACTTCTGAAATAACGGCAGGGAGAAAACAGATTCTCCCCTCCCTTGCCTAGGTTGCACTAGGTGAGCACCCACCTTGGCCAGTGGGTGCCTCAGTGGACCCCTCATGGAAAAATCCTGCCACAGCTTTGCATTCTCGGCTGAGATACTGTTTCTGGGCAGTTAAGACCTAATGGCATGTTTTCCCAAAAACAACAGTGACTTTCAGCATCATGCCTCCTTCCATTGATCATTTCCTTTCTGATTATTTTAAGCTGATATTCAGAATTATCTCAGAAGAAACCAAACAAAAGCAGGCTGGGCCTTTTTTCCATGCTGATAGCCTGTCTTCAGTTCCCAAAGTCCTTTTTTTTTGAGAGGGAGCCTCACTCTGTGGCTCAGGCTGGAGTGCAATGGCGCGATCTTGGCTTACTGCAACTTCCACCTCCCAGGTTCAAGCGATTCCCCTGCCTGAGCTCCCAGGTAGCTGGAATTATAGGCATGCACCACCACACCTGGCTAATTTTGTGTGTGTGTGTGTTTTTTTTTTCCCAGTAAAGATGGGGTTTCGCCATATTGGTCAGGCTGGTCTCAAACTCCTGACCTCAAGTAATCCACTTGCCTCAGCCTCCCAAAGTGTTAGAATTACAGGCGTGAGCCACTGTGCTCGGCCTGATCCCAAAGTCTTGAAACAAACAAACAAACAAACAAAAACAGCGTTTGCTCTCTCTCTCTCGATGTTCAGAAGCACAACAGCATAGGCCATGTATTCAGGCTACTGGGTTTTTTTATTTTCTGAGACAGAGTCTCACTCTGTCACCCAGGCTGGAGTGCAGTGGCGCGATCTCGGCTCACTGCAAGCTCCGCCGCCCAGGTTCATTCCATTCCCCTGCCTCAGCCTCCCAAGTAGCTGGGACTATAGGCGCCCGCCACCACACCTGGCTAATTTTTTGGCATTTTTTTTTTTTTAGTAGAGATGGGGTTTCACTGTGTTAGCCAGGATGGTCTCAATCTCCTAAACTCGTGATCCACCCTCCTCGGCCTCCCAAAGTGCTGGGATTACAGGCATGAGCCACCACGCCCGGCCTGGGCTACTGAGTCTTGAACCTGAGACCCTTTCCCCTTGTACTCCCCACCCCACTGCCAACCCCTCCCATCATGCCTGGGCAGCTGTCACGTGGTGAATTGAACATATCCACTGTTACTTAGATGCCTCTGATTTCTAGGATGGAAATCACTACCATAAATGCCACAAGAATATTCACTTTCGTGTATGTGAAAATCAGTAGGAAATCTACAAGAAAAAAAATCACAATATTTCATAATGTTTGAACAAAGAGATAACATTTAGTACTCATTGGGAATTCTGGGAAATATCAATAAACTTGAGATTCATCACTGAGTGTAAGTCATTGTGGCTTAGCTGACAGTATGACAATAACCACCTCACACGTATAGCATTCAGCTCCAGCCCTATCATTGTGAAAGAGCATGTTTGTAAAAGTCCAAAGTCAAAGCTGGATGAATTCACCAGAAAAAAAGCTATATTTGACCCTGACCTGCTTGTTCGGTGGGTCAGGTTGCACATAACATGGAGCAGGTCTGTTTTCTACACGTATTTGAGCTGTGATGCCTTCCTTCTGAAGCTATAAGAAAAGACGTTTTCTTATAGCTTCAAGGACTGTCCGTCTGAATTTCCAAAGATGACATTTGATTACTCTGCTACGTCTTTTGCCCTCTCTAATGCAGAGGTGTGGTTTTTTTGTTTCTATCTTTTTTTTTTTTTTTTTTTGAGACAGAGTCTCGCTCTGTCGCCCAGGCTGGAGTGCAGTGGTGTAATCTCGGCTCACTGCAAGCTCCGCCTCCTGGGTTCACGCCATTCTCCTTCCTCAGCTTCCCGAGCAGCTGGGACTACAGGCGCCTGCCACCATGCCCGGCTAATTTTTTGTATTTTTAGTAGAGATGGAGTTTCACCATGTTATCCAGGATGGTCTCGATCTCCTGACTTTGTGATCTGCCGGCTTCAGCCTCCCAAAGTGCTGGGATTACAGACGTGAACCACTGCGCCCGGCCTGTTTTGGTTTTTAAATGGAGACAGGGTCTCACTCTGTCACCCAGGCTGGAATGCACTGATATAATCATGACTCACTGCAGCCTCAACCTCCTGGGCTCAAGCAATCCTCCCATCTCAGCCTCCTGAGTAGCTGAAACTACAGGTGCACAGTACCACACCCAGCTAATTTTTGTGTGAGTGTATATTTTGTAGAGGTGTGGTTTCACCATGTTGCCCAGGCTGGTCTTGAACTCCCGGACTCAAGCGATCTGCCCATGTTGGCCTCCCAAAGTGTTGGGATTACATGTGAGCCACTGTGCCTGGTCAGGTGTGGGTCTATATCATTAGAGGCCAGAACATAAAGATGTTTCAGAATAAAAATATTTGAAACTGAATAGCAGTACCACAAGCCAAAAATGGGAAGTTAGAGAGCATGGAGTGGATTCTCTCATTTGTTCTTAAGCCATGGAAACTTGGCTTTGCTGTTGAGCCTTTTCAGTTCTTTCCTCTTTGTGCCTTACCTCTGAAGTTCCAATTCAAATCCATTGCCAGAGTAGAGAAATTGAGTGTAGAGTGGACATGTGAGCAGCCGCGACAGAGCAATTCCAGCGTAGCAGCTTTTGCTGTTCTTCCCAGGGTGTCTGCGTGTTTTCTGGCAAGGAAGGGGTCTCATCTGGAAGCGGTCGCACCATCGCACTAAGATCTGGCGCTGGTATTTCAGGTACAGGCTGGGAAGCACCTTCATATGAGTAACTGTGGCTCTCTCCAAGGTGTAAACGGGACGAGAGTGTGTTTGGATATCTGAGCCACCAGGCATGTTAGAGGTTATCTAGCTGGATCCTCTAATCTAAAAGATGATGAAAGTGAGGCTCAGAGTGGTTAAGTCATGTGGCCAAGAGAGGGGAAAGATATAGCAGAGAAATCAAACGTCATCTTTGGAAATTCTAACAGACAATCCTTGAAGAAGCTGTAAGAAAATGTCTTTACAATCAGAAGGAAGGCATCACAGCTCAAATACGTGTAGAAAACAGACTTTCTCCATGTTATGTATCCTGCCAGGCCATGGCTAGAGAAGTAGGGTAGGGTCAAGATACAGGGTCCAGGTTGGTGGTGACGATGGGAAATGGACTGAACAGTATGAGTCGGCAGCCTCACCATCAAACCCTTCCCTGGCCTGCCTCTCTGACTAACGAGCTGGCTTCATGACTTTGGGCAAATCTCTGTGTGCCTCAACGTCCTCATCTGTAAGATGGGAATAACAGTAGTGCTCACCTGTGAGCATGTATGAAGGACTTAGAGCAGTTGCTGGAACACATTAGGTGCTAATGAAGTGCTAGTTACTAGTAGTAGTGTTAAAACAGGTCAGTACAGTGGCTCATACCTGCAATCCCAACACTTTGGGAGGTCAAAGTCAGGAGGATCACTTGAGGCCAGGAATTTGAGACCAGCCTGGGCACCATAGCAAGACCTTGTCTCTACATAATAATTATATTTACAATAATTAATTAAATATTATTTATAAATATTATTTAATAATTTATTAAATATTAAATATTATTTATAATTATTATTATTTCAGACGGAGTCTCACTCTGTTGCCCAGGCTAGAGTGCAGTGGCACCATGGCAGCTCACTGCAGCCTCTGCCTCCTGGGTTCAAGCAATTTCCTGCCTCAGCCTCCCGAGTAGCTGGGATTACAGGTGCATGCCGCTATGCCTGGCTAATTTTTGTATTTTGAGTAGAGATGTGGGTTTCACCATGTTGGTCAGGTCAGGTCAGGTCAGGTCAGGTGATTCCCCCACCTCGGCCTCCCAAAGTGCTGGGATTACAGGTGTGAGCCACTGTGCCCAGCCTGAAGTTGTTTAAATGAATTGTTTCCCAGACTAATTACACTGCAGGGCACAGAAGGAAGTTCTGAATTGAAAGTGCTTATAAATGATGACTATTAGGTTACTTCAATTTTCAAAAAGGAAAAAATTCAGATTTCTGTAAATAGAGATTGGTGAGCTTGTAGTAGACTTGATT